AACTGGTCACGGTTGCGAAAGATACTTTTCTGAGCCTTGAAGATGAAAGCTTTTCCTGTCCACCACAATTCTGATGCAAGAATGACATGTTAAAATGAAATGACACAATTCTGTTTTAGACAGATTTCCAGATTATAGCATCACAGAGAGATTTTTGATCAATTTATTTTATTATTTTATTATGTTTTGCAGTGCTGAAGGCAAAGTGACAGCTAAGAATCAGCATTTCAGAATATTAAGCAGTGGATAGACAAGCATGCCTTTGTCTTCAGGATTTGGTGAAAGAAAGAGGGGGCGAGGGAACCCAAACAGAAACCGAGTGGAAAGGAACAAAGCGTTCTTTATAGAGCATATATTAAATCTAAGAAAGATATAAAGTGTGAGATAGAGCCCTCGATTCATCTGACATGCTGTCAATAGCCCTCAGACTTGCAGTGGACCTTGGAGCCCAGATGAATGTGATCAGAGCCTTGAATGCTGCGTGTCAAAGGCATGCACTTTTCTAGAGAGGTCTGATGTTAAGACGTGACTCATAGCCAACATTTCCACAAGAAAGAGAATAACAAACCACTCTAGAATATGTGCACGTTAAAATTGGCAGAAGCAGGTGAGAACCTCAGTTTGTAGGTAACACAATGAATGTTTTGAAGTATAGAAATGCTGTTTTACATAAGTGTGCTGTGATGATAAATGGCTTAAAAGGATTGTGCTACATCATTCAGTTTACAAAAACACTGTTGTTCATTGTTGTCTTTGACCACACTGCCATCTTGTGGCAGATGCATGTGCTTTTACAGAGTTCTGTTGCTAATTAACAAAGCGCAGAGCGCCATTAAGATGATGATAATGATGATGAACAAGATGATGATGAGAAGGTTTGATGACGAATGAGATTATGATGTTGAACCATTTAACAGATGAGTATCATATATGACTCAAGATGTCACAAAATTCTCATACTAAACTTCTTTTGTTTTATTTATTTTTTCTTAGCTAGCCTAGACATTAAAGAGCTATTATTTCCAGCACACTTTTATTGGGAAATGATGGAATACAGTTCAAAACATTACTGATTTAAAATTGAACATTGCCCATTATCACAGATGATGATGCTACCCAGTATTGGATCTTTTGCGTACTTTATAATATAAATGTTCAACAATTCAAATTACGGCCTTAACAGTTTGAAATTATAAATAAAATATATAATAATTAACTACCTGAGAATTTATCTCATTATGGTCTTGAGTAAATGAAATCTTAGGCGTATTGTTAACATGTCACCTTTAAATTCCTAAACATTTTTGATTTCTAATCTGTTATTTTCATAAATGAAACCATATGGAAGTCCTTGACTGGTAAACTACTTAATTGCGTGTTAAGTTTCAAACTGTCATAGCACTGTACAAGTTTTTAATTAAATAGACCTAAATAAATAAATGAATAATAAATAAATACTTCAGTGAACTATATATTTTCTGGAATATGGTTATTTGTAGAAGAAAAAAGGCCCTTGGGCGAAGTCAATTTTGTTGCGGAAACTTGTTAAATTATGCTGCCAAACTTCTTTACAGTTAGAAGTATAATAAAACAAACAATATTAATAGGCTCAGCATTGTAGAGAGACATCTATCAATTAGAAAATTAGATAAAATACCATAACTGGCATATATGCCGTCCTAAAGGGTACGGATTTATTGCATCCATACATTATGGAATAAGCTTCTATTAGACAGACTGTAGTTTGCTAGATTCACTAGAAATTCATATGCAGACACAAAACATGATAAAATTCTGTCAGCGTTTGTTTACACACTGTCATGTAGTTCCAAGTGAATGATGAGAGAATTAGCGAACTAGCCTTTGAAATGATCTGACATGTTGTTTTATCACTTCATTTGACGCCGTGACAGTTGCTGTAGTGGTGCATTGAATGGATTACAATAGCTTTATTGTTCACAATAACAGATTGTTACTCACTTGTTAGTGTGTGCATGCATAAACTGATGTTTTGTTA